GTGTGATAAGTTTGCTTCCAAAACAGTATATGCTTTAATGAAATTAAGACTAAAAAAGCTTTGAAAAAAATTCGAAATCAAAACTTGTTTGAATTTCGCAAAAAAACAAATAAACCAAGACTGCATCGGCAGGGTGGTGTATAAAATGTCTTGTTGCGGTCGCTTGTCGGTAAGGCGCCAGATATAATAGATGGAATTTTGATTAGCGTCTGAAAAGTACTATTCACCATTTGCTCATGGGCCAGTTAATATGGTTCTTAGCGAACTGATTGTCTTTACTAATAAGTCGATTTTTCGATAGTTAGGAATATACTTTTATATTATATATAATTGCCGTTGTGTAACCGCTGAAGCGATTTTCGGCCAAGCTCCTTCTTCAATTTATGATGTGTGTCTTAATGTTTTTCTAGCAAATGGCGGAACATATTGTTTACTCCAAGTCGCTTTCAAACGCCCAATGCATATTTTTGAGGAGCTTTGTTTTCATCTCATAAATACCCTCGGACCTATTCGCGTGGAAATTGCCACTCTTTTAAAAAGCTGTATCACGGAGAATTTTTGAATGTACATAAGGGGTTTTATTTTTAATGTTTATCCAAAATTATTTAAAATTTATTTTACCAGTTACGGTTATCCCTCGACAGGGAATGTCAAGCCCTCGGAATAGAAATCCTGCAAGTCACTCATTTGTTTTTGAAACCACAGATTGGTCGGTGAACTCGGTGCACAGTAAAGTTTTCAGAATTTAAATTTGAAATAATTCGCACAGTGCACTTTGTATTTTACCGAAATATATTTTGTGTGAGATATTCTGCTCAAGCCATTAAACTTAATTTCAACATTTCGTTACTGTCTAATTCTTACTGACATTTCCCAACGAACAAAGCTTGCAAACAGCTATTCAAATGACTGTTGGTTGGCAATCGATAATCAATCCATCCAACAACTTCTAAACGCGAATGACTTAAAATCAACAAATTTATCGATATCCTTTTGAAAAAGTTAAAACCCAAAGCTTAATAAGCTGCAATTGTTTTTCGCCTTGTAGAGACTATAAAGAAACTTAACGCCCTTTTTATTTTGCTTCCTTCTCCTTATCGGTTTCATTTATCGGTTTTCAAAACTTTGCACGAATGGCAACTGAAATGAAAAACGAACTCGCTCAGGTGATCCGAACTGTGCGCTTAAACCGGAAACAGACGTGATGTCTTCCTGTTTTGAAGACTGTAAAATGGTTTTCCGCTTGCAATAACGGTTAATTTAAAATTTCTGGTGTAAAAAAAATTGTTTTTGTGTTAATTTGTTACTGCAATGTTAAAGATATACATATAAGCAAGCATTAAAAAATGTTTTTATTTCATACGTGAGTTTGTGAGAGCAGTTTGTTTTGTCCAATACTGTAGTTATGTATTTATACCTATATATATACATGCTTGCATAGTATGCTCGTGTGTGGTCAAACATCTTTGCATTGCTTGTTGTGAATCCCATATTACAAGCTTTATTTGAAGAGCCGCCAATCAGTAGTCCTAGATAAAACATAAAAAAAAACTATCCATACATATTTATAAGTGTCGCTGACGGCTACTTAATTTAGTGAATTAGCAAACGGTAATAACCTATGTTAATTTGCTAATTACCTAAATTAAAAGGCTGTCCCCAAAAAAAGTGAATTATTATAATATTTAATATGTATATGTATGTGCTAATGTAACGATAAAGAAACATATATTGTACATATTTATAGATTCCCTTCATTTATTTTTGCGTTTATATCTGTGTTCTTACAACAAAACAATATAATAACTGAAAAGCGCATGCCTAGGGCTCTGAAGGGAAATTCGTTTAAGAAAGGATTTTTTTAAAGTTCCCTTCGATGCGTTGAAAGTTCATGGAATACATACATAGTATGTAGCTGTCAAAGTTGCATTATAAAATCGAAGAAAGACTCCGCCTATGTGATAATTTAAAGTACTTTTCAGCAGACCGGAGGAAAAGTGTAGGCCTAAAGTTTTTTTTTTTTATGATGAGATTCAAGTGTATTACACACTAAGCTTTTAAATTGAATACTAGTACATACATGCATACATACTTCTGTTATTTAATATGAACGCTGCAACATGGAAATATGTACGTGCATAGAATAACGGCAGAAGAACATTTAATCTATGTATTGACGAATAAAGATGTTTACCTATAAAGTACAAATTATAAATATAAATGTATAATTGAGTAAAAAATAAAAAGGATTAAACCCAAGAACAAAATATAAAGAGTATGACAGTATACAAAATTAAGGAAGTACATACATACATATATGATGGAGGAGTAAAAATAAAAAAAAAATGGCATAACAAAAAACAAAGAAACATAAGAAGAGATTTGTAGGAAAACACAAGAAATAAAAATAAATAAGTGAGTTTAGATATAGTCGAAGCTATTATGAAACTAAAAATGAAAGTGAAATAAAGGGATATAAAATATCCATTAAAAATTAAATTTGTCGTTTTCTTGGTGGTAAAGAGTGTTATTTTTGGACATGTGGTTTTCAAGAAGACCACCGCAAAGCGCGTGTGAAGGATATTGGAAAAATCCAACAGACCGGTAACCGAAAACCTGTGACAATACGGACTGCCCTAAATTCGAGACCGAAATCGATCATAGTATGCCGCCTCTCACGCTAAACAGCTACAGATTTACTCATCATCTTCTATAAATTCATGGCTAAAAGGAGTAGGAAATTACTTAATTATTTAAGCTCTTAGTAAGTACGTTTTGATACAGCAAATATTGGGTTGCCCAAAAAGTAATTGCGGATTTTTTAAAAGAAAGTAGAATGAACTTTAATCAAATATATAATTGCCATTTTGTTCGATAACCTTTTGCCATCTTCCTGCCAAATTTAGTATTCCACGCTCATAGAACTTCTGGCCTTTATCTGCAAAAAACTGAACCAAGTGCGATTTTATAGTCTCATCATTGCCGAAAGTTTTACCATTTAAGGAGTTCTGCAAAGATCGAAATAAATGGTAGTTTGATGGTGCAAGGTCAGGGCTATATGGTGAATGTAACAGCAGTTCCCAGCAAAGCTCACTCAGTTTTTGGCGAGTGACCAAAGATGTGTGCGGTCTAGCGTTGTCCTGGTGGAATATGACACCTTTACGATTGACCAATTCTGACCGCTACTCGTTGATGGACGCATTCAATTTGTCCAGCTGTTCACAGTAGACATTCGAATTAAACTTCTGGTTCCTTGGAAACAGCTCAAAATATACGACACCCTTCCAATCCCACCAAACAGACAGCATAACCTTCTTTTGGTGGATATCAGCCTTTGAAGTGGTTTGAGCTGGTTCACCATGCTTGGACCATGATCGTTTTCGACTAACGTTGTTGTAAACAATCCATTTTTCATCTCCAGTTATGATTCGTTTTGAAAACGGATCGAATTCATTGCGTTTAAGGTGCATATCACAAGCGTTGATTCGGTGTGTTAAATGAATTTCTTTCAATACATGTGGTACCCAAATATCAAGCTTTTTCACGGTTACAAAGCGCCAACTATATATATATATAATGAAAGGGACCCAAATTGTCTAGATTTAGATGGCGATGTATAAGTAGGAATGGCCTATTGATAACACCTCTTATCGATTTAGTTAAAAATAAAACTCCAATTATCTTTCTAGCACAATCGTGTAGGCAAATTAATGAGCCGTCAACGACTTTTGTAAGGAGTGAGATTCGTTTTCACGAATAGTAGGGATTGCTTTTGTACAGATTCCAGTTTATTACTGAATGATATTCCGAACTGAACAAGTGAAGTCAAGAGTGATAACGTATGGGCATTGAACATTTAATGAAAGCTAAGACCCCTTTTGTTTTATTAGAGCGAGAATTTACATATATGTGTTCCAAAATCTAACTTAGGATCCATTATCAAATCGACGAAGTCAGCAAATTTGTTCATGTACCACATAAGCAAAGGTGTGAAAATATTTTCGGGAGAAATACAGCTTGACATCATCTGCGTCAAACAGGGTTTTAGCATGAAGAACCACATTTGGAAGGCCATTTATGATTAAAAGGAATAATAAGAGACCGCACTGACTGCCTTGAGGGAACATAAGCAATATTTAAAAATTACTTTTTGTTTTCTAAATTTGTTTTTCGTCTCTATGTTTTTTCAACAAATGGAGCGACCTTAAGTTTATACTAAGTCGCCTCCTAACGACTGATGGTTTTTTATGAGCAACTTTATTTCATGTCAGGAATATAATCGGAAGGGTTGACATTCCCTGCCGAGGGGCGACCGCTGTTGGAAAATTTGCTTAATTTTTTATTTAAATAAATTTTCTATAACTTTTTACATGTTAGTACGACACTATAATTTGAACCCGAGCCTTCCGAATGGCAGTACGCAATGCTAAAAACTCAGCTAACGCGCTGACAATCCGCTGACATCGGCATACCTAAAGTAGGTCCTGTATGTAACGAGACCATCGTACAACGTCTAAAATTGGCTCATTTTCTACTTTTTCCCCTTTGGTCGGTCTGACGTTTCCTGTACTTGCAGCTAACCTCGACACTATAGCTTTGCCGGCTTCTCCAGCTTACCTAGCCTCTATACAATCCAAAAAAATAGCCTGACTATCTCCATTGTTGGTTCATGTGTTTTTGATGCATGAGAGAACTAAAGCTTTTGATACGACGTAGATGTACAAAGGGATTATAAACAGCTGATCGATTGAAGATATTTTTTTTTTCTAACTTGTATTGAAAAACATTTGTGCTTGAATATGAATAGGATAGTAACACAATGAAAATCGTGAATACGATTATCTTGGGAACTACTGAAGTAATTTGACGCCGTTAGTGAAAATCTCGATACTGCTTTTGCATATATAAAGCTGCTGAGTAAAATAATAATATGTCGCCGTCATTTTACTCCGAATTCGGCATGATAATTTAATTGCTTATAAATATGGCAACATCTTAGACCAGTCGTCAACATTACATTCGTGACATTTCCAACCGACAGTCAAGTTTTGTTTTCGTACACAATTTCAAGCAATTCATAAATTTTACATTCCCATAAAAAAATTAAAACATCAAGTAATATCATTATTTTGGATGTGACATTTTACATGTAAGTATTCAATTTTTTTTTGTGCATATGTATAAATTGTTACCTTTGGATTCTATTTAGAAATGAATGTATTAAACAGCTCCATTTACACGACGCACTTGTAAAAAATCCAACTGGTTTTCAACTTCCGTTTATTGACTAAAAGAATTGCAAAACATACTACAAATCTATAAATAAATTTACGGAAACGATAGTAAAAAATGTCGCAACCTGTTGCATTCCTAACACGCAAAGAAACCTTCAGTGCTTGCCATCGTTTACATAGGTAAGATAATAATGTGTACTGATTTGTAAATATTTATAGATACATATGTATGCCTATACATTTATTAAATGTATAAATATGTATGTATTTATGTACATATGTGAATATTAGTATTAATACCATATTTTGTCTAGTACATATAAATGTACGTCAAAGTTCTAGGGTGAATCGAAATGTTAATATTGATAAGAGGTGCCTATAAATATTTTAATTGACTTGGTCATATTTTTTAAACATGTCATTTATGTACATATATATATATGAAAGTACAATAATATTACATCAACTAAATTCGTAATTAATTAATTAACTTATTATAGGCCTTTTCAATGAACACCATTGTTTCCGCAAATGTGAACATTGCACATTGAGGCATATAAAAACTTACATATGTACAACATGCACATGCATATGTGTGTACATATCAGTATATATAACTTATCTTGGTTATGTGATCGCTCCTTGGTAGGAAATGACAATCACTCGGAGTGCTACTCTGACTTAAATAGCTTGCCATGAAATTGACCACAAATGAGAGAAGAAGCTGTGTTGATAATAACTAAAGCGGTTATAGAATACAAATAAATATATATGTATGTACATATGTATTTGTATAAATTATTAACCACAATTATATTGTAATTTTATAACGTTAAAGGTCGTAAATTAATACTCATGATTTATTTTTATTCAATTAATGTATACAATAAGATCACGGATATATGTATTGTGGCAAAATTAGCCATTCTTTAACTTTTTTCTTTTGGAAAAGGCTTACTGTATTTTCTATAAAATTTAAAAAAGCTTTTTTTTTTGAATTTTTTATCTTTCTAGTCCACATTTGAGTGATGCGGAAAATGCTGAAGTCTTTGGAAAATGTAACCATATAAACGGACATGGCCACAATTATACTGGTATTTATATATATGACTTTTTGGCAAAATTATAAACAAGGAAAAATGGGAACAATTCTTAGAAATATTTTCTGGGATTAATTTTAAAAGTTATTTCATTCCTGAAATTGCTTCGACAGAAGACCAATAGGACAAAAAAAGCTTATAAAATAAAAAAATAAAATAAAATAATAAAATACTTTAAAATAAAAATAGTGGAAATAGTTAAATTATTTATTTATTGTACATAATTAGAAATTAATTTTATAATAACTTTTAACTTCCCATGATATAAGTTGTCATCTAAAACTTCAATCGAAAGTTTCAAACTTTCAAAACTTTTAATTTTCAGTTGAGGTTACTGTACGTGGACCCATTGACATTCGTACGGGCATGGTAATGAACATTACAGAATTGAAGAATGCTTTAGACAAGGTGGTGTTCAAGGATTTAGACCATAAGAATTTGGATAAAGATGTAGATTTTTTCAAAAAGACTGTAAGTATAGTATAAATAATTGTGCATATTCATACTTACACTCACATATATGTATGCTAATTTATACACTTTAGCCCAGCACTACGGAAAATGTGTGTGTTTACATTTGGGATAATGTACGACAGCACCTACAACATCCAGAATTATTATATGAGGTTAAGATTTTTGAGACTGATAAAAATTCCGTAACTTATCGTGGACCATATAATCAGAATGGTCATTATCTAAGTTTGATACAAAAACGTTCAGCAAAAACTTCTTGCAACAACATTTCGTCTGATTCAGATTAGATCGGTAGAGAGAACGAAAAAACTCGAAATGAATTTGTGAATATGAATTTATACAAAATTAGTTAAGCAAACAGAAAGTGTAATTGAAACAATAAAACCTTAGAGCAAATATTTTATTCTACATAGCAATACTTGATATTCCTTTTTCCGGAATTATATTAATATAAGCAACAAGCTCCTTATGATAAAATTCAGTTTTGATGATGGCCACTGCAAACGTTTTAACAACCTCGGTTTGAGGGCAGGTACCTGAAGTCAGCCGGAAAATGATGAAAGCTACAAGGATCCTTCCTTGATTTGCTTGACGGTAAAGACAATTATGGACAAATGGTTTGATGCGAAGGTCGGCATAGATCGCCACGTTGTGCTATTTGTCAGACAAGCGTTAACGATTGTATTATCAGGCGAGCTATGGCAAATGCTCACAATTCTGGTGGAAGTGCCCGACGTTCATATAGATTCGCTTATCCGTTCTATAAATTCCATTCCTCTATGGTCATTTGACAGGCTAGAATGCCAAAGATCATGGCGCGCGTTGAAGTCACCCAAAACTAATCGGGTTTTCGCCTCTGAGTAGCGTACCTACATACATCAGGATCGTCTTAACGTTCTAGCATAATATCCCACCAGTCGATATCGTCGTCGACAATACGATACTAGTTGGTGTTAAACAGTTTAAGCCACAACCATGTGTCCGATCGCAATTCTTACGTTTGAGGTTTAAACCAGTACGGCGCGGAAGATCAGAGCTGCCAATTATCTTGACTGCAGCTATCGGCAGGTGCTCCTGGCTCATAAAGTCAACTCGATTTTCCTCTGGAGTCGAGGAGTCTAGCCTATCTCGGAGCTATTGCTGTTGTACTACAACTACAACTATCTCGGAGCTGAATGTTGCTGTTGGTGGTGGTGGTATAGGATGAGTTTGTAAGTCATACTGGGGAAGCTCTATTTTAACATGGAGGTCTGTGGAGTCGTCTTTGGCACATGTAGCGGAAATTTTCGTTGGACCAGGGTTTGTTTTAAGACCAGCTTTAAGAAAGAATTCGTCATTACCGCCGGACTTGAAAAAATGAACCATGAATTACCTATCAAATAATCTTTGTTCGAAAGTGAGCTTCTACTTCCCGACCTTTCCCACTTCTTCATTGCACTACAATGACAACTAAAGCTAGCAAAGCCCTCAGCTACTCTCTTTAATAGCTTTACATAACTTGAAGTGGATGTGAAAGTCGATGACCTAAATATCAAAGTCCAAGCTACTGGGAGTCTCATTCGACAGCATGTACTCCGCATACAACGTCAATTGACACTAAAGTGCGAGATCCTCAGAAACCGGGAAACCTCCTGATATCGTCGATACAGCACTTACACAGTGAAATATCTGACCATAGAGCTATGAAGCAATATCTACTGGGAAGCTACCATTGGAAACAGCCCGACAAACAGTAACTGAAAGCTGAATCAGGCTCATCGCGACTAGAAAGACTCCATGTAGCATTTAGAACTGAATTGCTGAACAGGATTGCATACCGTCAGGCTTTAAACGCTAGACACCTGGAGTCTGTCAACTTTTTTATAACCCCTCTACCCATGTATAGCGTACTCTGAATCCAACTACTGCTATTGACACGAGATACCGGTTAATACTGGCACAGTACGATTCAGGATTTTGCATTCCTCTCCAAATAAGTCGTCAAAGCCTGTTTTCAGCAGTCAGATAACCACGACTTAGATTCATTTTGCCTTCTTCTAAATAGTGTTTATCAATCGCTACAACAACAACAACAAAGAGGGGGTTTTAAAACAGCACACCTGCGAATTTTTGCTCCGTTAACGTACTTGGACTGAATTCACCTTTTTATCTATCAAAAATTTTCAGTTTAAGCTGATGAGTTGGCTTATAAGTCTTCTAGAGAGAGATTTTCAGAAGATACATATATGGAAACCGCAGTCGATAGAAGGATGAACTATATGAAATCATGACGACAATGACATAGTTCAGCGTTTAGAGGTAGTGTCTGCGCTGACTATATGATACAGTATGGATGAACGAATTCACTCCAGCTGTAGTATTCGCTGCAGTAACCGCTAGTGGAGGCAGAACAAGATGAAGATTTACAATCCGTTGGATCTGAACAAGGTGGATAAGTACACGAATTCACTTTGTGCATGAAATTGGTGCCGAGTGGCTAAAAAAAAAAAGAAACGACTAGCGCGCTTAACAATATTTGGGTTGAGTTTATTCGGCTGCTGGTCATTATCAGCGCACTTAGGCCAATACATAGTCCCATCGGTATCAAGCTGTGAGGCTCTTGCTTTAACCTACATTGAGGAATGCGCAGTCTTATTGATATCTCCTACATGATTCAGTCGGACGTACCGTACTCAAGACTAAAGTCGTTTTCAAAGCTCGAGTATTCTTATCCATTCGGACGACATAACTTTGCCACCGTAGCCGTTGTCTCTTCATTCGCTGAACTATGTCAATATGATCGTATAGCTCGTACAGCTCATCGTTCCATCGTCAGCGGTATTCGCCGTCGACAATACGCAAAGGACAAAAAATCTTACGCAAAACTTTTCTCTCGTAGACTCCTAACGCCGACTCATCAGTTGTTGAAGCGTGGACTATGCTTCTGCGCCATTTAAGAGGACGGGTATGATGAGCGACTCGTAGAGTTTGACTCACGCTCGCGGAGAGAGGACTTCACTTTTTCAAGTAGCACCTGTTGGAAAGAGTAATTCTGCGTTGGACTTCAAGGCTGATGTTATTATTGGTGTTGATGCTGGTTCTTAGGTAGACGAAATTATCTACGACTTCAAAATTATGACTGTCAACAATGACGTGGGAGCCAAGTCACGAATGCGATGACTGTTTTGTTTGATGAAAGGAGATATTTCGTCTTGCCATCATGCACTACCAGACCCGTACGCTTCGATTCTTTATTAAGTCTGGAGAGAGAACTCACGGCGCTTTTGATGAGGACAATAATGTCAGTATCATCGGCGTATGCCAGTAGCTGTACACTCTTGATCTAACTACATATGTATAAATCCAGTACACGATATTCGGCCCTATTCGCAAAGGCGATGCCTACACCAATTAAAAAGCTGAACGTGAGGAAAGGCTTAAAACATTAATTGTAAGCACGAGAGTAGCTTACAGAAGGCGCTAAAGAAGTCTAAAATGTGCGATGATTGAAGATTTGTACTGTAATCCACAAATACATTGCGAGCGGCGATCTAAACTTTATTACTATCACACAATGAGGTCATATCTGTCGTATATGTACTTATATATGTACATACATATATTACTTTATAATTACATCCTTTTATATTTAAAATGCAGTATTTACGCGCATTGAAAAGATATGAATTTATTGCAAGTTTCCACTGATACATAGATATAAACATGAATACATAAAGGCATTGAAAATTATAAAATCAGATTATCATTAAGTCATAAATTAAAATACAATATTACAGTCGCATGAATTATTAGTCAAATACTCCAATAATGATGGGGTTACAAGAATATATATGTCCATTTGAAATATAACGAGATAATAGAATTTAAACTAGAATATAAATAAGTATGTACTCGTTTATTAAATACAACCTTTGGTTCAAACACTAGTAGACTGCTAACCTAGAAATATATTTAACAAGTGCAAATAATAATGCATACATAGGTATGTGTATTAAATAAAACATATGTATATGTATGTATGTATGTATGTAGCAGGAAGAAATTAACCGAGAGAAAGTTCAATTGAAATTTGAAATCAATTGATTTTTATTCATAAATAACTACATCATAATGTTCATAAATATATGTACATATGTAAGTATGCATATTATTTTTAACAGGAACGTGCGTACTGGTCTATTTATGTATATATGTATATGTATATAATTTTTATAAGATTTGGCGCTACATATATATGCATGTATTTCGAATTTAAACTACATTTCGCTTTTTTTCTTCTTATAATAAGATACATAATATTTTATAATAATAACTATATAATATTTAATTTGTATAACGCATTTTCTAATTGTATTCATTATATGCATATATATATATTCTATATATAAACATTTTTTATAGTTAAAATTGATATTTTGTTTACATCACGAGCCGTTTGCTTTAGCTAAGCCAATAAATATTAGTATATATATATATATATAAATATATATATATATGTATGTATATATATATATATGTGTATCTATATGTAGGTATAATTATTTGGATTATAGCATTATATTGGTTTGGAAAAATATTTAATCAGCGCATACTACAATAGTTTTTGTAATCTAAAATGTAAGCTATAAAATTGCGCGTGTCCTTAAACGCTGATAGCCACGCATTTCTTCACAACAATATGATGTGTATTAGAGTGGATTGGTATTGTTTTTTTTTGTTTTTTTTTTTTGTTTTTTATTGACTAGAGATCATACATTTTTGAGCTCTTAACTTTGTGTGTATTTAATAATAAAAAAAAATAATAAAATAAAATCATATACACATATATAAATGTAAATAATTAATTAAATTAATTAAAAATAAAAAGTGCGTTATTTCATAACAAAAATTGATTAAACTCGAAAGCTTTTGTGTTGATATAAATCAAAAAAAAAATCAAACTTAATTCTGTTAAAATTTGTTTTTGGCTTGAAAGCCTTGAAATATAAACAGAATCTTGCCATAAACAGGCCTATTCTCACTGTTACCGGTAAAGTAAATTTTGTTACTTTGCTTTAACAAACGAAATTGAATTTGGTATTCTGGCGAACTAGTTACAATATTTGAAAAAAATTTGGCAGCACTGCTTTTTTCGTCCATGTCAAATTATATTTTCCAGTCGATAAAGTAAAAAGAAAAATATTCACATCGAAATGGAAGCCGGTGCATAAAGAAATTAAAAAGTTTTATTAATTTGTTTATTAAATCATAAATATTTGGACCAAATTATGGAAAATATGCCTGGACAACAAAAAAAGTTGAATGAAAACGTTATCTTACAAATTAAAGAGCTATTTTTTAGTCTCGAAAACTTCTTTAAATACAGCTTTTTGCACTTTTTTCTTCATCTTCAATGAGTTCCTGGCCTAAAATATGC